AAAAAAAATTGTTGCTTACCTGGCGGCGCGGCGCAAAGGATCAAGGCAGATCTTCAACGACGACGATGACGTGGCGCGATGACGACGGTCGCGATGATGACGATGGTGATGTGGCACGACGGCGACGATCACGACGACGATGATGACGTGTCACGACGATGACGACGAGGTCGACGGCAACGATGATGGATCAGGGCGGGAGGGAGGGCCGAAGCCGCTCCGATACCAGTGTAACGAGCGTGAGGCTGAGGGTGAGCCGAGGGAGAGGAGAGAGAGGGAGAGAGCGAGAGCACACACACACACTCACTCACTCGACACGACGGACTCGGACTGAGGATCAGACGCAGACACAGTGGCAAGGCACCAAGTCGAAGTCTTGGATTTCGAATGTCGAAACAGCAAGTCACATTGAGTACGAGTACAGCAGCAGAGAACTGGTACGAGACTGGTCCCCGTACCGTACGGGGAGCCGGTATAAGTACCGGTGACACGTACGGTACCAGGGGCATTTCTGCAAAGGCCCMGAGGGCAGAACTGAAAAATGGAGTATTTGAAAGTGGCGCCCGAATTGCAGCATGGCGCCAGTTGTCCAAAATCCTACGGTACCAAAGGAGGGGTTTGGAAAAAGGGTGCCAGGCCGAAAACGGGATGCAGCTGAAACAGCAAAAGATAAACCAGGGATCGAGCCCTGGCGGAGTCCGTAACACCGAAACTCATGAGAGAGTGCGAGGATGTGGGTAACGGATGAAACGTCGGCATGACAGCAGATCAACTGAGTACACATGACTGAACGTTATGATTCCCTTCGTGTCTGATTTTTCATGTACAAGCGCATTTTCAACACTTTGAAAACTTATCACTCAAAGCTTTAGATACAGCACAAAGCACCGTGAGGTGTGAAGCTTACTCGTACTAATTACGATTCCGACTATCGGGGATAATGGGGATAAATACAAATATCGGATTATGAATTTAGTGAAATATTTAACATTTTCAATGATTTTTTTTTTTTTTTTTTTTATGCAAATCTGCGTGGGCCTCGCTCAGACACGTTGACTTTTCTGAGTTATGGGTTAGGACGTATGAAAAAGGGACTAGGCTTATTTGTTTGTCTGAGTTAGTTTGTTTTGTTGTGTATCACGTGGTTGAGTTAGGATGTCTTAGTCGACCGACGCTGAACCGCACGTGGGAGATCAGCATCCCAGCATAACGGTTCGCGTACGGGTCCGAGCTAGGCGTGGACCGCGATTACCCCCTATGCTACAGCATACGAGAAACGCCCTCGGTTGGGCCACATCCGCAATTGCAAGTAAAAATTTTCGCGTGTGGTTCAGTAGCTCGGCGGGGATACGCCCACCCAAGGGATGGTGACAGCTCCCGCGGGTGGAGATAAGTTGTACCTCGTGAGACCCTATCCTGTCGCAGGGACTCGATGGAGATATAGTTGGCGCACTCTGCCCGAGCGGCTCTGTCGCTTCCCTTTTCGTGAAGCGACTTGCGAATTCTGTCAATCCTATGTGACGCGGCCGGGAAGGTTTCCCCAGCGGGGACCGTGCACTCGATAACGTGAGACTTTTGTTAAGTTTTTTTTTTTTTAAGTGTTTTGAGGAGGGGGCGTGCTCAGCAATGTTTTTTTTTTTTTTTTTAAAGCTAATTCTTTAAGCCCAACCCAATTCAATTACCCGTCGAATCTGGACAGAATGGCCTTCCCATCCTTTTTTATTGTCATTATAGTATTACTGGGAACCTTGTAGCAGCTACATTCGTGCTCAAGCCTCCGACGAGGGAACATGAGGGAGCTGCACCCACCAGAAAGTGTGACACCTTCTACAGCAGGTGGGCATACCAGCCAGGAGTCACCCGGTAGCATCAGGACCGAGTCTCTTTGATGGACCAGTCATTGTGCCTCCCCTCTGCTCCCCTCTGCCTACAAACATCAGCGGTGGAGTTCCGCGTGGGTTGCCAAAGGGGACCGAGGAGGGTGCGTCGGTTGGCGGGGACCGTATTTACAAAGAGCGTCGGGGTAGCGCGCCGGGGTGGACCGAGGAGGACGACGAGGGTTTGTGGGGCGGGGCGGGCCGGACACTTGCCGACAACGAGAATCGAACCGTGCAAACTGCCCCGCGTGAACTATCAGCGGGTGAGGGTGCGGCCCGCGGGACGAGCGGGAGGAGGAGCGGGAGGAGGAAGAGGGGACGAGCAGGAGGAGCAGCGGGAGGAGGAGGAGGAAGAGCGGGATTAGCAACAGGA